ACATTTGGGAAAGTAAAGCGGCGATTTCCTATCCTGAAGTATGGATGCAGAGTAAAACTGACCAGTATTCCAAAATGTAATTGCGTGTGCTGTGTTGCACAATATAGCTAATCAATTAAGAGATGAAGATTTTCAAGAAAATGACGAAGATGATGAACAGGACTTGCCATTTATAGGGAATGAAAATGTAGATGCTATTCGCGCACAAGGACAAAGGCGGCGAGAGAAATTAGCTCGTCTTATTACCAATAACAATATAGATCTATAATTAGAATTAAAACTTTCATGTGCTATGTATATGCGTTTACTTGTAACGTACAAAGATGTATTTACTTAAACTAAAAATAAACTTACACGTTTTTACTGGAAAAAAACCTTTAATTATTTTTTTTGTTATAAATGATAACATATTACATATACGTCTATTTACAAGTTTTGGTAAATATTATCTCCAACAACAACATACTCTTGCGGGGCTTTTTCGTTTGATGCCTCGTTTAAATTTTTTAGCTTGACAGAGTAATATTGTTGTTGTTGGCAACTTTCAGTTGTTCAACTAAAACTAATCGTTGAAGCTGGGTTGTCGTTAACTGCCTCGTCTCGTCAGACTCTTGTTTGCCCGAAGCAAAGGTAGGCTTCGGAGGAATTTTTTTTGCAGCAACCTCTTCAACCGATGTGTAGGATCGCTTTTTGTTAGCTACTACTTGAGGCATAATCATCTGATGAGCGTCGTTTTCCACCACAATGTCATCATTTGAAGTAGGTAAAGAAGGTTGACTTGCCACGCCAATTGCAAAATATACATGCATGATTAGCGCCTAGAAGGTAATAGTAAAGACCTGAATCTATTTCTTACCTGGTACCCGACTTAGTACAGGATTTATGTCCACATCCATAGCCTTTAATATAACTTTCTCCCAGGACAAAAGACGAATGGGCTTGTTCCCTGTTTTATTTTTGTCAGTTTTATTTTTCAGTCGCGTTTTCATAATGTTCACTTTTTTCATAAAAGCTTTAATATCCATCTCCTTGCCAAATAAAGTAACGTATTCCTTAACGATATCAGTTAATGCAGCAGTTTTCTTCTTTTTCATCGCTAGAATTTCAGATTTTTCGAGGATCTCCGGAAACGCTTGGACTTTTTCAGCGATAAACATCATCTAGTTAGGGGCATCTTCGGTAACTTCCTGTTCACTATCGGTGTCAGACATTTTAAATATTTTATTCACCTTAAAATAGCTGCACAAATAAGTTAGATGGATCTTTTTTACATCAATTACCCTGCGAACTGCTTTTAATTATGAGACAAATAAGATCAACCCCATCAGTTACAGACCACATACGCGTTAATTGCACGCTGCAAGTCATATCTTGTCGAAATCGCTAATAACCGTACCTTTTACTTTATTTTAACGAAGCATTTGCTTGCAAGGAAGAGGTAGAGATTATGAATAACAATTAGAGCAAAACCTTTTACTTCTACCTTTTGCTTGTACCTTTTACTTCAAAGTAAATGCTTCATTTTTATAAATACGGGCTATTATATTATGTCTTTTGGATGATATATTGTCCACCATTAAAAACCATGTCACTTATTTCCGTCTGTCTGTCATGTTTGTCATGTCTGTCATGTCAATCAAGTCTGTCATGTCAATCATGCCTGTCATGTCAATCATGTCTGTCAGTCTGTCTGTCCGCTAATTCTTGGCCTGTCTGTAATTTGAGAAGTACCGCTCGGATTTTGATAAAATTTTCATACAAGGACGAAAAAGATTTGTAGTTTTTTAAAATCGGTCCAATGGCGCCGGATCCGCAAGCAAAAAACGAAAAAAATGAAAATCGCTCGAACTCCGTTTTTTGACGTTTGAGAGGATCCTGATCGTTTTCAAACTAGCTAACAACGTATACGTCGCCAACCTCGGCAATTCTACGCACCTATTAGACGTGTTTCATACATCATGGATTTCCTCATACATTTGCCTTTAAAACTTGATAGATATATTTTCGATATACGCGTGTCTGATAACTTAACAACTGCTTCGAATGCTGAGAGATAACGGAGCGATGATGCGCGTATCCGTGTATGCAACGCCGTGCTGGACTTGCGTGTAAACAGAGACAAGCAAAGCATTGCTCGGTAGTGTGGATAGGATGGTAGGGTAGATCGCCAATTTTGTCAACTGTGTGGGGACTATGGATTAATTGTGAGCCTGTTTGACTGAACTTTTTTCTAAGAGAACCCAACTTGTGGCGAATATAACCCTCTATGAATTAATGGCAGCCTTACGTAGAGAGTACATAGTCAACCTACTTGACGCCATTTTTTTCGTGGGTATCACGGCGATCGGCGATCCTGAGCAAAATCATTAGGAAGTTCAGCATGATGGATAGCATCGTCATCTAAATTTTTTATGCTCCTAAGTCACTATGTATACTAAAAATAGTACTGTTTTGTAATCCAGAAGCTCTTAACTTTTCACCTTTGCTATGCATCTCGTTCCTTTTGTCCCAGAATCAGCGGTGCCATGTTACTTCAACGTGACGTTTGTTAAACTGGTATTTCTGGCAACGTGTGTCACTTTGAATGCTAATAGGTATTCCCTTTGTGTAAATCTTCTTTTATCTGTTTCAGATGTCGTTGATGCGTAAAGCTTCCTCGGTTTTGCTCGGGCAGGCGTCGAGAGTGTTGCTGAAGCCGCCGCGCGCGATCAGCAGCATCGCCGTCGAGCATGAGACCGTAGACGATATGATCTCCAGGTGAGTCAAGAATTTCATAATATGATGATGAAACAGTTCGATATCAAGCTCTAAGGTCTTACAGGGTTCAAATTCTACAAGTGATCATGTCAGCAAAGAATTCACGGTCTTAAGATTGTAGCAATCCTCATACAGTTAGTACCTACACTACTGTCCAAAAGTTTCTGGACACTAGAAGATTAATACTTAAAACTGATAAAAGGATTGGAGGGAGTCTCATATATAGATGAATAATAGGGAAGGTCCGTGTTTTATCCAATTTTTATTACTACCAGAAACATTTTAACAAAGTTAAAATGTATAAAGAAAGCGGTTGAGATATGAATGACACGAAATCCATTTATTTTCTTTTTTTAATAGTTATGTTCCTGTTTTGATGAAAGCAGTCTCATCGTAGTAGTTCTATTGTGTGTGAGACAAATGATAAAACATCGAACTCTACATCACCACATAACCTCAAATGCTTCCCGCGCCGCAACTCAAGGAGGAAATTATAGGATAACAAGAAAGCTACTATGCGTGGAAACGCTTATATTTATGTAAACATACGTAATTGAAGACACAAGTGGATAAAGTATCATGTAACAAAATCATTTAATGTAGAAAATTGACCTTGAACATTTTTATTGGAACTTTTTACTTTACTGACATTTTAAATATTTAGCTTAATTAGATTGTTATTATCTTGTTTTTTTGCAATAGAATGAAAGAATCACTCCTAAAATTCTATAGGTGACATGTACCTCAAATAATGACAGGAAACTCTTTTCAAGTTATGTTCACACATCTTTTTAGTAACTTGCGACAGTTCTCAGCATTATCGTGACAAATTCTCCGAGAATAAATGTTTTAAGCTGCTTTGATGTCTTTTTGAAGTCCTTTCTATGTGTTTTTTGTTAGCCCGATACTATTTTATGACTCTACCGTCTCAAAAATGTCGCTTGGATAGAAATCTGAGAACCGAGCTTGGGACTGCATGTTTTGTGCCTATGTTTCATTGAGCAAATAATATTTTTACAATTTGGATGAGTGTGAACCGTTTTTTTGTACTTTAACGATTCACATGTCATATGGCAACTACTCCCACGCTGTAATGGTACGTTTCTGCTTGGAAAGATCATCCACCAGAAATATGATTTGCTCATTCACCAGTATATTGAATTTTGCGCATCAAATGTATGGGGCGGCCATTCATAAAACGGTGGCAATATATTCTAGAGTAGAATGTACACCCAAGAATATCATGAAATGTTTTTATAAACATAAGTCTTAACGTGCCTCTTTACGCAGATGCTGAAGTTATAATCTTGAAATCGAAAATGCATCGCTCAAAAGCCTTATATAAAAAAAGCTGTTGGAATGGCGAAACAAGGAACGTGGAAATGCATAGGGTATTTATTTATTTTTTTTTTCGAAATCGTTTATTTTGCGTTCTTGACTATCCTGTATAAACTGTTCAAAGAACTTAAAAAGTAAGTGAGAACGAACAAAATATAAAAATATAGCACCATAGTGTTTTTCAAATTCACTACTCTAGCTATAACAGCTGCGGAGGTTCGAGCTGCCAAATTTGAGTGGTGTAAAACCGATAAACCGTCAAACATCTTGGCAATATGGAAATAGGACCGTCTAGTATGTTATATCAAATTGCTTCGTTTGAAAGGGTGTATTCAAATCCGCAATAAAAAATAAAAAACCATTAAAAAAATACTTGTTTGGGTCAACGCAGAGTTTTGGATCACCCTATAGAGATAAATAATATTTTCCTAGTAAAAGCGTACTGTCGATCGAGCCCAAATTAAAGACTCACCTTTGGCAACCCTTGTTTCTTTATGTCCCTTACTTCTTTTTTTTGTTTGGGAAATTGACCCATTTAGTTTTATCTATTGCTGCACAATTTCTCGACGACATCCCTCTATATTGACTTATCTGGCGTGAAGCAAAATTTGTGAGATATTCTTAGACGTTTATCTCATCCCTTTCTCCATCCTTACAAAACATGAATTACGACCGCTTTGACCGTACTTGTTCAGAAACTAAAACTACCTGTGTAGTTACATAAATTAAATCAGTCAACAGTTTCCAATTATCATTGCAAATTTCTAATTATTGCAGTATGTGAATCATCTGTTTTCAATGAACACTAAACATTGAAATAAATTTCGTCAAATACGCACCAAAAATCACGACCTTTCAGATAATCAATTTAGTACGTAAATGCCGCGTATTGACCAATTATTTTCAAATCATCGTAGATACGAATGCTTATTCAATCGTGAAGATGCTGATGGTTGGGATATCAGACAAGCTATGAATGATCTCACTGGTTATGACAGTGTACCGGAGCCTAGGATCATCATCGCCGCTCTTCATGCTTGTAGGAGACTCAACGAATACGCCTTATCTGTTAGGTAAAATCAACAACTTGTTCTGTTTCACGTGATACTTTGCCACTGATACCTGAAGATATCTCCCATCATCCAGGTCTTGATATGTGTTTTGAAAATATTAATGTTAACCCTGAGGCATTTCCCTTATTTAGCGATATTAACATGTATAATTTCCGAAAAGCAAATTTTACAGAGCTGTCCTCGTTGCAGACTTTTTTTTTAGGTAACTTCTTAGATGTAAGCTTAGCTATTGCTGAATTTTATAAATTTTTATACTCTATCTTTGATATTTACGTACCCAAATGTAAATATTTTAGTCATAAGTACCCTTCGTGGTACACCAGCGAAATTATTAGGAAAGTCAAGCATAAAGCAAAGTTATACAAGAAGTACAAAAAGAGTCACAATAACGATCTACATGAACAGTACAAACGTATTAGATCTGAGGTAAAGCGTCAAATATCTGTGGCCTATAAAAATTATACACGTAATGTTGAGATGTCCATCTCTCAAGATCCTAAACATTTTTGGAGCTTCATGCATACAAAAAATCGAACAACTAGGATTCCTGGTAAAATTAAGTTGAACGATCCTTACTGTGCTGTCAATGCATTTGCAGATTTTTTTTAATAGTGTTTTTGTTGATCCATCTTCTCGTAATGATTTTATTGAAGGCAGGAATCCTACTAGTCAGGTTAACGTATTCTTCAATAACATTCATGACAATGAGATTATTGCTGCATCTAAAAAACTCAAGAATATAGTAACGGCCGGCCCAGACAACATCCCCTCGTTCATAGTCAAAGATTGTATTCAGCCGTTATTAAAAATATACGATTTGACTATAGAAACCAACACATTCCCCGACATTTGGAATCTTTCTAGAGCGACACCTATTTTCAAATCAGGGGATAATACTTATATTAAAAACTATAGAGCGGTGGCAATATTGTAGAATGTCTCCAAATTTCTGGAGATAATTGCATAATAGAATTTACTCCGCAGTTCATAGATCTCGGTCCCCTTTTCAGCATGGTTTTGTTACTAAGAGGTCCACAGTAACTAATTTAACAATCTTCACTCAGTTCGCTATTGAGTGTGTCGATCGGCAAGGTAAACTAGAACTAGATTTTGCTAAATCGTTCGATAAGGTGGACTATGGCATACTTTTGAATAAACTTTTTTATTATGTATTCCATTCATCAGCTTTAGCACTCATTCAAAGTTATCTTCATGGAATGAAGCAACATGTTACTTTTAATGGGTTCAAGTCGTACCAGTATATAACTAAATCGGGAGTGCCTCAGGGTTCAAATCTTGGTCCTTTATTGTTTACTTTATTTATTGATGATGTTGTGCATTATTTAAGTTGCAAAAAGCTCCTCTTTGTGGATGATTTAAAATTATTCAGGATAATTGAGTCTGAGACTGATTGTATTGCACTTCAGCGTGATATTGATTCTCTAGTGGCTCGGTGTGACGAGAATAATTTATTTCTTAATGCCTCTAAGTGTAGTTTAGTCAGCTTTTCCAGGAAAACTTCTGATTGTAAATTTAATTATAAAATTGGGGATGCTTACATAAATCGTTATAACTCAGTTAAGGACTTGGGTGTAGTTTTTGACCATAAACTTAATTTTTCACTCCACGTATCTCAAAAGGTGAGTGAAGCTGATGAGATTGTGGCTCAAATAAACTTTAATGTTCCATCTATTCAAACTCGTACAGCTAAAACCTATTGCGACAGGGCTCGCACAAATTTGTTTTTGAAGGCACCCATGTATGTAATGTGTGAAACTTTCAATCCAGTATCAAATTATTGTGATATACATGCTGACAGCTTGAACAGCATTCTGGGAGTAGCTAGAAATTGCTTGGAGAATTTATGATATGTCACTCAGCTGAGTGAAATATGTTTTTTTTGCTTCTTTCTCTTGTTTGTTTTTTTCTTTAGATGTTTTCTGTTCTTGTTATTTTGATTTATCTTAGGATTGTCCTGTAAATGGTTTCCTTAACTGTTGGGTAATAAATGCTATTTAATTTATTTATTTATTTATTTATCAGACCTCGTACATTGATAATGGTTTATTCAAAATTATAACAAGCTAACAAGGAAGAAAGTGAAACAATCTCTTGTTGATCAAACAATATACGATTTCATGTCATGTTCTACATTTTATCAGAATCTTCTAATTACGCTCCTCAATACATACAGGGTGCTTATTTGGTTGTAGCTTCGTCTAATCTGCCGAACTTTGTGTTGGTAGTTTCCGTTTTAAATTAAAAACGAACTGTAGATTTGGCAAACCTCAACGGGCAAGATTTTGAACACTTATTGAAATAAAAAGTGATATTTTCGAGTGTTTTGTTTTCTGAACAAATTAAGATAAAGATTTTTATAATTTTCTTGAAAACGAATCGACCGATTTTTGAAAATCGAACGTCAAAATAAGGGACTTCGAATGATCTTTCAAACAAGCTGTTTCTCGATGCCCTTTGTCATTTAAAATTTTTAAGGGGATGATGACCCTGGGGGCCGAGACTGAAACGGGGTGAAGTAGTTTTTGGTTAAAAAGTTGTCCCCTTTGACAAATCTTTTGACGTGTTTCGCCGTTTTTTTTAATCAGTGTGAGGGGGAATTTGAAATCATAGTTGTTGCTGAATTCAGGTCTTTGAAAATGGTGGCAACAAGTGCGGCAATATGAATTATTGCTTATAAAAATATGTCGAACGTTGAGACATTCATTTTGCCATAATCTTCTAATCACGCTCCTCAAAATCTGTGAATCAATACATTATATGAATGGACCTGCATCAGCTGGGACACTTGATATATCAGGTAACCAAATAAGCTCGTGCGATTTTTAGTAGAAACATATATTTTTATTGAGAAACCATAAGACACTATTTATTCGTCGAAGTAATTACCATCACATTCAATGATCTTTTGCCAATGTGGAATCAATTTTTGTATGCCGGAATTGCGAAAATCCCTGGATTTGGAGTAAAAAAATTGGCGGACTGCATTTATTACACCATCTCGAGTTGTGAACTGTCGGTGCGTCATACAGTTATCAAGAAACAAAAAAGGTGATAATCACTGGGCGAAATGTCGGGAGAATATGGCGGGTGCGGTAACGTTTCCCAGCCGAGTTCAGAAATTTTTTCTCGGGTCGCTTTTGCAGTATGAGGCTTGGCGTTATCCTGCAAGAATATCACTTTCTTCCGATTGATCAAAGACGGCTATTTCTGGATGAGTGCTGTTTGTACTCATTGAAGCTGCTCACAATACAAGTTAGCAATGATGGTTTGACCCCTTTCCAAAAAACTCATAATGGACAATTCCAGTTGTTGTCTACCAAACACACAACAACACCTTGTTTGGGATCAACAACATTGATGGCAATGTGCGATATACAGCAACCGCACGAACTTATTTGGTTACCTGATAATAATTATAAACTTGTATGCGAAGAGGAAAATTAATATGAAATGATAGTGAATTGTTTTATTGCTAAATTAGGTTTTTGGAAATGGTGAAAAACAAGTGCGGCAATCGCGTCGATGAGATTTGGCCGTACATTGTACAAGAAGTGACACCTACGGTCGCCGAGTTGGGATGCGATTTCCCAGAGAATTTGGGCTATGACAAACCGGAGCTGTTTTTGGAATCTGTTTTCGATGTGCGTTGAGAATCTGTAATAGTCACACATTAAAAACAATGTGTATTATATTATAATTGTAGTTATGATATTATAAGAATGTCAAACCGTTGGTATTAAATTAATGTTTAGAGTAAATGCAGTGGTATTTATATCTTTGCGATGTTAGAAATGTGTAGTGTTGGTATCTGAGTCAGCAAATTCATGATTCCCAGCTACTATGGGGAGAATGTAAAAACCCAGAATCCAGATGTATTGAAATATTTATACTAAGTGACATATAAATCCGAACACCCAGTTTAAATGGTTTTATTTTAATAAAATTTTGTATAAGTACTTAATGAAGCATAATAAGTAAATGATAAAAATTTCAAAATTATTGCACTGCTTTAAAGCCCTTTGATCTTTAATAATGTGTGGATGCACCCTGATGTGCTACGCATTCTCCAACGCGCCTAGGCATGCTTCTGCTTGTTCTACGGCGGCGTCCAGTGCCGCTTGCTCTTTGCGTACGGCCTTCTCGAAGCCATGCCTGACAACACCTAACCACAGTGTCTACACTTCTTTGCACTCTAACTGCAATTGCCCGAAAAGAAAGTCCAGCTTCCCGGAGTCGCACTATACGGCCCCTATCAAACTCACTAAGTTGACGAAATCGTACAGGTCTCCGTACTCTAGGCATCGTAACCGATCTTAAAGGATGTCAAAAACCAAAATCCGCCAACGTTGATTATTTACTGAGGCTGAAATATTCATTTTTAGAGCGTTAGTGAATTAAAAAAAAAGCAGTATAAAAACCGGAATGTCCAACTGATAAGGCTGAAAATTTGTTCACTGGCTGGACGAAATTTATCCAGAAAGATGGATCGGCCGTGGAGGACCAGTCGCCTGGCCTCTACGATCCCCTGACCTAAATCCATTAGATTTCTTTGTGTGGGGATTTCTAAAAGAAAAAGTGTACCAGACTCCCGTAACCACAAGAGATATGCTAATAGACAGAATCAGGAATGCATGTGATGAAATAAGGCCTTACTTGAATAATGCTATACCACGTTCGATCATTCGTAGATGTTAATTGTGTATTGAACAATTGGGTTTACATTTCGAGCAACTACTTTAGATTTTGTATGTTTGTCCTAACTATCCAATAGCATTTTAGTTGTAAATAATTAAATTAATTTGTTAAAAATAATATTGGAAAATTAAACAAGTTAATATCCTGTTTTTTGTGTTTATTTGGAGTAAACGATCATCTTAATTACTTGTAATGCCCAAATCGAAAATGTAAAAAAAATATTATTTTCCCATGAATAATTAAAAATGCATCGAACCTTAAACATCGAAATATCTCAAAAACGGCTAACTATACCGAAAACTCACAGGAGAGCTTTTTTATGTTGAAAAGTGCGAAGAATCAGTTTTTTTATTCAAAAAATTGCACTAAGAAAAAATTTTCGGTCATTTTAATACACTACAGGTACAGTAGAGAGCGCCCTCTAGCGGCTACAGTAAAACTATGCCCATGGTTCGTTTTGTCGTACCAAAACCTTGTATACCAATTTTCACTGTTATACATCAAATATTGTTCGAAATATTTAAAAAAACTATTTTAGAAAGTAAATTTAAACACCCTGTATTTCGGAAGCCACGCATTTTTCGGCCCATGTTTATATAGACTTTATGCATTAATTTTAAAAGTTCTATCAAACAAATCTTAGCTAATTTTGAAAAAAGATGTAGGTATTCGATCAAGTACTTAGTACCTACCCATAATTTTATGGGGGGTGCAAATGAGCACTACTGCTCTCATCAAATATAAAAAAATGAAAACTTACTTATCTGAAAGAGACCACCACCAACCCCCACAGTCGACCAACTTACAGTATAGCCCTTTCCTCTTGCACTATCGCTGTCTCAAGCACAATCCAAGTCCAAAAGAAACAAAAAAAGAAATCGAAATCCAGACTAGGCAATCGGATGACGCGAGTGACGCGTTTTCGGTGTCACCGGCACCCGCGAACTGTCATGCGACAGCGGTCCATCATCGCGGGTCCAGGGAGGCCTTGGCGACCGGAAACGATGCTCTTTTGTCCGCCGTGCGGCAGCGGGCGTTTCCGGGAAAGCTATAGTGCACGGGTCACTGGATGGTCATTGCTTCACGCTGAACAGCCATCGCACCATGTACGTTTTTTATGTTCTATGTGTATCAATGTGTAATTTACTGTATATTGAGTTTGCAATACCGACGATGTGCGGCGTGATATGACTTGAACGCGCCTGGTATATGGTACGAGGCATGGCGTAGAGAGAAATTTGAAGAGCGGTATGAAGAGATAAAACTAATGGAAAAAAAATGGGATCGAATAGATCGACTCGACACGCAATGGTAGATTAGTTTGAAATATTAGAGCAGGATTTACCAATCTTTTTTTTTGTTGAGGTTCCCCGGACTATAAATTATATTTTCATGACACCCTTTACATTTTCAATAAATACAAAAAAACGCACATTATATAGGTACAAAGACTTTTATTTTAATTCTAATAAACTTCAAAAGCTTAAAAAAACTAATACATGTTTTTATCGAAAAACTTGAATAGAATAACAGGCAATCTTTAGATCAAAAATTTCTCCAATCTTAAAAGTCATCTTTCATGGACGAATCGCCTTCATTTCTAGAAATTCTTCCTGAACTTCTTTTGGTAATTGTGACACATCGTCAACAAATGGACTTCTTGTCATGTGCCATCTTGGTGACTCTGAATTGATGTTTCGATAGTATCGGCGAAATTCCTCTTCCAGCGCTTGAAAATGAGTTTTATGTCAGCTTTTAAATTTTGCGTCCAGTATGTTATTTTCAACAGCCTAGAAAAAGATATATCTAACATTTTCAGAAGACACTTTTTGATACCAAAGTTGAAGTTTTGATATGAACCCCTGGATATAATATTTGCTTATTATAGTGTTGTTTCTGCCCTGAAGCTTCAAGTTTAGCTCATTCAAGGAGTCAAATATGTCAGTTAAATAAGCCAACCATCATTGAAATGTGTCATCTTTGAACATTGTCATGTTTTTCTTTGAACTCAAGAAAAAGACTTACCTCTTCTTTCAATTCATAAAGGCGAGCCAACATGTTTGCCTTTGGACAGCCAGCGTACTTCTGTATGGAACAGAAGAAGTTTGTGATCAGAATCGAGATCCTTGCAAAGTAAAGTAAATAACCGACTGTTCAAAGCGCTGCTCTTGATATAGTTTACAATCCTTATAGCCTGGCGTAATTTCTGTGGCAATGTTTTGGAAGCCAAAGCTTGCCGATGTGTACTAACCATTGCGGGATTTTTTTCCTAGAGCTTTTCCGATCGTACACCTATCATCCGATCAGCAGTTTCGCAGTGTTGCCACCTTTAGTTTTTCCCTGGTCTGAACCAATTCTCCCATCTGCCCTAGGGGAAGACATCTCCAAAAGAAGAAGAAGATATTTATAAACAAACAAAACAATTTTATTATTGTTTTTGTTTTAATAATTTTCAATGGCTAATTGCTTTAAGTGCAATATTGAATGTATATTTAAGGAGGATAGAGAGAAGATCAGAACTTTTGGCTATCCCTGTGACTTATGTAACCGAGTCATATGTGAAAAATGCAACTCTCTACAAGCGCAAGAAATTAGAGTAATCCCCAGTTCTAATAGGACTTTAGTCTACACCTGTCCTGAATGTAAACCGCTCTTCAAGGAATCACTACAAGCATTTAAGCAAATTCAATCCCTACAGCAGGAAATCTCATTGCATAAGAAGGAGATTTCAAATCTCAAGGCGAGAGTAAAGAATACTGAAAATGAACTGCAACTGAAGGCAAATAAGGCTGATATGGACAAAGACAGGGCTGCAGTGAAATTAGTTCATGATGGATTACAAAAATCTCTGGAAGACTTATCCCTAAAAAACAAGGATGACAACTTTTCAGACAAGAATGCACTATCCATCACTTCTTTATTGCACGATAAACTTGACGATAAATTGTTGTTCTTCACTGAAAAGATCAACAATGAGCTAACCAAATCCTTGAGCTCACACCTTAACTTGATCCAGGAAACTAATAAGGAACTTCTCAATTGCATGAAGATTGAGATGAAGACATATGCAAGTAAGTTGTCCAAGCCCCCAATAGTCCATGAAATCACACAAGAGCAAACGAGTAAAGCTATCAATGATGCATTGGTTTCTATCAATGGCCCTCCAAGCTCAACTGCAGTCTCCATTAAACCTGGTCCGATCAAGCAATCTGAACATTCAACAGGTCCTAAACAACTTGGTAACTCTAACACTCTTGTCAGGGGTACAAACAAAACTTCAACTGGAATTGTAGCAGCGGAGGAACAGTTCTGGTGTTATATAGGCAACCTGGAAGCAGGAACCACAACTATTCAATTAATAAATTATCTTAAGTCCAACAACATTGAAGCCTTAACCTGTGAGAAACTGTCGTCTCAGAACCAACATGTGGCATCTTTTAAGCTCTCCGTGAAACCTGGTGTCAAGAATACATTATTTAATAGCGACATATGGCCTGAAAATGTGATTGTCAAGCCATTCAATTTCCCTAGAAGAAATCAACCATTACCATCAGCACAAGGTAGACGCTTTTTTAAAAGGCAGGCCCAGCCACGGCGCAGGAATTAACCCTATCAATGATATTAGGATTTATTACCAGAACATTAGAGGCATCAGAACTAAATTGAATGAATTTTCAAACAATGTGTCCATGGCATCATATGATATAATTATACTTAGTGAAACCTGGTTAACACCAGAGTTTAATGACTCGGAACTAGGGCTACAGAACTACTCAATTTATAGATGTGACAGAGACAACATAGCAACAGGCAAATCCAGAGGAGGAGGTGTTTTAATTGCGATCACAAAAAGTTTAAAATCGCACCAAGTCGAATTGAGGAATTTGACATCTGGGCATGAAGAGGTGTGGGTCTCTGTATCTATTGGTAAAATTAAGTCCACCTACTTCTGTGCAGTATATTTTCCTCCCCTTAGCAATTTGGTGGAATATGAAAATCACTGCAACAATATTGAAAACTTCAGTGATAGCTCTGATGTCATGTACATCATGGGAGATTACAACCTGCCCCATCTTCAGATGTTGGATGAAACCAACCTCCATGATAATGGTATTGGTAGACGGAATGCCTCCGGTGATCTTCTTGTTAGCTCCATGCTGTTTTCTAACTGCACTCAAATAAACTCGATAAAAAATTGTAACAATGTTTTACTAGATCTTGTATTTACCAATAATTCTAATTTTACTAAAGTAAATTGTGCTAATGATATACTTCTGCCATGTGACAAACATCACCCAGCATTTGTTGTAAGTATACAAAATATTAGCTCTTATAAACCTTTGCAATTTGAAGAACAAATCTATGATTTTAAAAATGCAGATTTTAATGTAATCAACAATTTATTAATTAATTTTAACTGGGATGCCTTATTGGTTGATCAATTGGATAATGATGTTGAATGTTTTTATGCTGTTCTCTATGATTGTATTGATACTTATGTGCCAAGATTGCTAATAAAAAGTAATTTTAAATTTCCTGCATGGTTTAGTCCTGAACTCAAAAGTATGATTTATGAAAAAAAAGAGCTGCATGCAAAATATAAGAGAACTAATTCTAATATTGATTATGGTTTATTCTGTCATTTACGCAGATTGTGCAAAGAAAAGGTCCACCAAGATTATAGTCTTTATATAAAAAATATTGAGAATAATCTAAAAGGTAATATTAATGTTTTCTGGAAGTTCATTAAGTCTAAAAATAATCAAAATAGTATTCCATCAATTGTTAAGTATAATGAGGAAACTTTTGATAGCAGCAAAGAAATTGCAAATGCTTTTGCTAAACATTTTTCTAGTGTATATGAAACACCAAGTCCTTCACAGAGCCTTAGCACTGTTGCAAAAAGGTTCAGCTCGCCAAACTTAAATTTGAGCAGTGTATATATAAAAATTTCTGATATTTGTGAAAAGCTGGCTAGCCTGGACTTGTCAAAGGGACCGGGTCCTGATAGTGTGAGTGCATTGTTTCTTAAGAACTGTGCTTTCTCACTGTCTAGGCCTTTATGGATTTTATTTAATAAATCTTTAGCCCTGGGAGTTTTTCCAAAGAAATGGAAAACCTCCTACATTATTCCAATTTTTAAAAATTGTGGAAATCGAGAGAATGTTGAAAATTACAGGCCCATTACATTGATATCGTTAATTCCAAAGGTTTTTGAATCATTTGTAGCAGATTTTTTGAAGGAAAAATTTAAAAATGTTATAATTGCACAGCAGCATGGTTTCTGTGAAGGAAAATCTATAACTTCTAACCTTTTAGTTTATCATTCACATATAGTTGAGGCATTGGAAAATGGGCAATCTGTTGACTCAATTTATACAGATTTTGGGAAAGCATTCGACAAGTTGAATATAGATATTCTCATTGAAAAGCTCTCTTGTTACGGATTGCATGGAAGTTTATTGAACTGGTTAAGTTCTTATCTTTTTGAAAGAGAGCAATTTGTAAAAATTAAAAACTGTCTCTCAAATCCAATTGCTGTCTTGTCTGGTGTACCACAAGGTGCGCACTTGGCACCCATTTTATTTATAATTTTTGTCAATGACATAGCCCAATGTTTTAAATTCTGTTCTTTTCTTATCTATGCTGACGATGTCAAGATCTATTTACCTCTTTCTGATAATAACTCAACATTAAAGATTCAGAGTGACCTTGATCAATTTGTTAAATGGAGTGAAGAAAATAGAATGATCCTTAACACAGACAAATGTAAATACATTCAATTTTCAAAGTCTAACAATAATATAGTCAGCAGTTATCACATAAATAATACCCAACTTCAAAATGTGAATGTTGTTAAAGACCTGGGTGTTATATTTGATAGCAAAGTAACATTTTATCAGAACATAGAGGTTATAAGAAATAAAGCTTTAAAAATGT